AGAGGGAGAGAGGGAGAGAGGGAGAGAGGGAGAACTGGGGATTTAGCTCACTGGTTCCACCATCTGCCTCGCAAGTGCAAGGACCCGAGTTCAATCCCCAGTACTGAAAAAAAAAAATAGAGAGAGAGAGAAAAAAGGAGAGATTACACACACTCATACAGATATTTTTCCTACACGTATACACATAAGTGTTCTGTAATGAAGTGTTCTGTAATGGGTTTGTATTAAACATGGTGTTAGGTATAGTTGTCAAGTGAACCCACAAAACCTAAGTCAGCGACAAAAGCATTGAAAAACTAATTGCAATAAAACATTGATTCTCAAATATTAGTTTCCAAAAGAATCATCTCAGAGTTAGTTTGTTTTTTAACATACAAATTCCTGTACCTCATTCTCCCAGACATTTGGAAATACAAAGGCTGTGGAAATCCTACAAATCTGCTTTTGTTTGTTTGAATTTTAAAACCGGGCCTCACTAAACTGCCCAAGCCTGGCTCAAAATTGCGATCCTCCTGCCTTTACCTCCCAGAATATCTGGGATAATAGGTGTGCATAGCCACATGCTGCTTGATATTTTCTTGAAACAAACAGCCCAAGTGAGTCAGATGCTTTGGTCCATGGACCACATTCTAAGAAATACTAAAATAGAGCTTCAAAATCATCCAGTCCAGGACATCTTAATCAGGGATCTATAAATGAGTCCAGACAGGGCTTTTGGAGGGTGGAGAGGTTCCGTGAATCCTCAGAAATTATATGCAACATTTTTTGGTTTTTTGAGTCATGGTTTCACTATGTAGTTCAGGTTGAACTTGAACTCACAGTGATCCTCCTGCCTCAGCCTCCTGAGTGCTGGGATTACAGGTGTGTGCCACCATACCCAGCTACATGCAACATTAATGTATGTGTATTTTCCTGGGGAAGTTTATAGGCTTAACCGTATCTCACATAAGACTTGTAACTCCTCATCCTAGCCCTCATTCCAACCTGAATATTAAGAACCACTGATCTACCCTTACTATTATTTCTCTAATGTGATTAACTCCTGAAAGTGAGGACACATAAATGAATGTTGTCCATTACGGATGAAAATAAGCCACGAACAAGTGACTTGCCCAACACAGGACTTCATTGTGTCCTGGGTATGGTGGTCTTCAGAGAACGCATGACTGAGTTCAGTCCCCAGAAATTGCTTCACCAATCTTTGCTGATAGACTTCAGCCCTTCTCCCTCAACCGGAAATTGTGTAACTTTAATGTTCACCAAAACCCTAAGTTTCAGAAGGAAACAGAAGACTGGAAAGAACATTGAACTGGCAGTTAGAGGAACTGGGTGTGAGGACCCTCTTACGGGTGGTGGAGGTGTGACTTCGGGGAAGTTGCTGCATCTCTTTGACCTTCTATTCACATGTCTGTAAAAGGAAATTGTGAGACTACAGCTGTGTTTCCCATTCCTGGCTGGACATCAGAATCACTTGTAGAGCTTCAAAAGCAGAGATGCCTTTTGGTTCTGTCCCTTAAGGTTCTGATTAAGTGGGTCTAGGGCCATGCATATGTGTTATGTTTCTCAGAACACTCCAAAGGCAGTATTAATAGGTCACAAATGGTCCCTCAGGTGGCCTCAGCTTTATAATTCTATGATTCTATATGGGTAAATACTCATTTATTAAAAATATAAGAACCTGATATGTGCAAATCAACAAACTGCTGTCCTTTATCTCTTGCAAATGTCATTATATTTTTAAAAAGAAACACAGCAAAATATGCATGGCCTTATAAACTAAATCCATCCCCATCAAAAGTTTTTCCTCAGACAGAAACACTGGATCTCTCAGCTCCCGGATCACCCTGCCATGAACACCTCTCCTCTGCCATGCGTTCCTGCTTTGGAGCTAGCGACTATGGTCTGAAACTGAAACTTACAGTGGGAGCCAGGAGGGCTAAAAATAACAGTCCTAAGTTAATAAAAGATGAAAAAGTTGGGCTGGGGATTTAGCTCAGTGGTTCTGGTGCCTGCCTTGCCAACACAAAGACCCGACTTCGATCCCCAGTACCACACACCCCCAAAAAAAAAAAACTATACCTAAAAAACTGAACGAAAGATCTGAACAGAAACCTTGCCAAAGAAGACATGCATAAGGGAAGAAAGACTATGAAAAGATGTTCAGCATCATATGTCATCAGGAAACTGCAAATCAATGCAACAATATTAGAATGACTGACATCCAAAACATCAACACCAGCAGATGCTGCAGGGAAAACAAAACTTTCACGCATTGCTGGGGAAAGCGGGCACAAAATGACATGGCTGCTCCGGGAAACAGCGAGCCTGGTTCTGATTGGGCAGATGTACAACACTGGTGCTGAATGCTGACGGTGAAGGAGGCTTGGGGAGGGGGAGAAGAATATTTAGGACTCTGTACTTGGTGTTCAAGTTTGCTGTGAACTTAAAATACCTCTGTGAAAAAAATAAATACTTTTTTAAATGTCTAAAAAAGGAAAATGAACATAAAAACCTTATGTGCTGTGAAGGAAGCTAAATGATCTGCTCATGGTCACATAACTCCTAAGTACTGGAACCAGTTTACTTCATTTCTCTGAGTTCGTCTGCAGAGCCATTACCTAAGGTTCCATACTACATTTAAAACACTTCACTGTGCCATAAATGTGGACCTACAAACCATGACATATTTGGTTAGAAGACAAATAAAGAATTGCCACCAAATCCGTTTTCTTTTCTAACAATTCTAACATTTTGATTATTTAAATTCATGAAGTCATAATTTCGGGGGGAGTACCGGGTATTGAACTCAGGACCTTGCGCTTGCCAAGCAGATGCTGTGCCACTGAGCTACATCCCTGGCCCATGAAGTCTTCATTAAAGACATTTTATTGTAGCCCTATTCACCATAACCAAGATATAGAAATAATCTGAGTGTTTATTAACTGCTGAATAAAGAAAATATATACAGAATGAAATACCATTCAGCCATAAAAGGATGAAAGCTTGTGCTTTGTGACAACATGTGCAGCACTGGGGAGCATGATGCTTAATGAAATAACCTCAACATAGAAAGATAAGTGGCCATCTTTCGTATGTGGAATCTCAGTCGTTGATTTCATAGAATTGGGAGTGTAAGGGTGGTCACATACACTGGAGAATAGAGAGAGGGAGGCATGGAGAGAGGTTTGTCGATGGTACTGGGCTTCAGTTAGGAGTAGGAGGTTCTGGTGTGCGATTAAACAGTAAGTAACTGCAGAAAATAGTAATGTACTACATATCTTAATAAGTTAGAAGGGGAGCCAGATTCGGTGGAGCATACCTGTAATCCCAGTACTCAGGAGGCCGAGGCAGGAAGATTACTGTTAATTCGAGACCAGCCTAGGCTACCTAGTGAGTTCAAGGACAGCCTGAAAAATATAGTGAGACTCTGTTTCAAGACAAAACAACAACAAAAAAAGTATTTGGATGCTCTCATCATGAGAAAAATGAGAAAATGTGGAGGCAGGTACGTTCACCCTGATGTAAATAGTATGCAATGTATACATATATATATCAAAATGTGACATAGTATCTGATAACTATGTTTTTCTGTATCATTTGAAAAATAAATCTAATTTAATTTTTTTTAATGCTGGCTCTTTGATCAGGACAGGCACCTTCATGACACTAGAGGATGTTTTGGATGTTGGATGTGTTGTCAGAATAAACAGGCTAAAATAATCTTAAACCTTTGGTCTGAGCTTCTAAACTCAACATTGTGTAATGCTAGCCAGGTGTGATGGTGCATGCCTATAATTCCTACACTTGGGAGGCTGAGGCAGGAAAGTCACTGCCTGGGCTACATAGTGAGTTCTAGGCTGGCCTGGACTGCATAGTAAGACTTTGTCTCAAAAAACTGAAAAACAAACCAACAAACAATTATTTAATGCTTTACCCCTAAAACACTCAGAAATATTGCCTTCTGCATTCAGATGCCATTTCTCTGACCCAGGCTGAAGGCGCTGTCCTCAGGCTTTGCATGGTAAGATAGATGCACGAATGGGGCTGGTCCCAGCAACAGCCAGAGGTTCCCTCCCATCTACACTTTACATCTACTGACTTGATTGTGGATGCTGCTGTATCCAGAGCACTTTCCTGTGCCTGACCCCATACTTAAACCGTGGTAGGTAGATTATGACTCTTTTGAGCATCTTTTTGGGTGCATGACTGTGTGTGTGTGTGTGTGTGTGCGTGTGTGTGTGTGTGTGGCTTTTTGACTGATTACTGCAAACACTTCCCTAAATA